GACTTAATTTAATGACTGCTTGAGATTTAATGTTATTTTTCTTCAGTTGTAGTTTAAGCAAACAGACTTCTTTTTCCCAATAGGAAAATAATTCAGCTCTATTTAGGATTTTTTCTTGAGTAAAAGGTAACAACTGAAATATTAAGTTATTGAAAAGACATTCATTTTAGTTAGATGGTAACTAGAATTCATTACATCATAGTACACTAATTGACCTATTACTGATTTTTTTTTAAATTTAATGAATGATAGTGATCACAAACTCACAGAAATTAAGTATCAGTGTCTCTGAAACAGGCAGTGCAGGGAAGGGCATTCAAAAAATCTTTTAAAAGTAGATTCAGAGTCCATGATTCCTAAACACATATGTAAGCATGTAACTTTGTGTTCTCAGTAGTCCATTGAATTTAATGGTTATTTATAAGTATATGAAGTTGTATCATTAAGCAGATGCATAAATCATTGCAATAGAGGGGGTATAGATTTTAAGAAACTTTCGTGACCATCCTCTCTGACCTTGTGCCCATCCCCAAGCAGAGAACTGCCAGTCAGTTTTGTTCCCAGAGCCCAAGAGTTTCCAATCAGCTGAAGTAGATCATAGTTCTGTTTAGATAGTATAGTGTTTGGCTTTTTAAAAATTTTGTGTGTTTTTAATGTTCCGTAAGTTATACTGCGTAGTGGCACCTTACTGCTTGTAAGGGAAAGATTATTTTTACTAATTATTCTGCATAAGTGTATAGCCCCTGGTGATAATTTAGCACATGGGGAATATTTTTTAATGTCAGGACAGTGAACACCCAGGATAAAGCTGTAAGTAGGGAAGAAAAATCCTGTCAGGCCTAAGTGCTCTCATAAACTATTTTAATTTGAAACGAGTTAATAATATTGAGTAGCTGTCTTGCACAATTATTGATATATCTCTGATAGATGTTGCCCTGCCAATGAGAATGAATAAGAGCTGTTCAACATGCTGTATGCATTTCTTGATGAAAGACTCAGAATCAATAAGACTTTGTCTGTATGCACAAGTGCAGGATCTTACTAAACTTAAGAATATATGCTACTTAAGTTTTTGAGGACAAAGGTAAATATCGTGCGAGATGTGTCTCTGTCATAGGGTTTAGAAATCTGACTTGGAGTTACTTTGAAGATGACTTTCAGTCATGATAGCTTTATTGGTGGGGCAGGAAACAGCCAATACTCTCTTTCTGAGTACATGATAAATACCTGACTTGGAGCATTTTTGTAAAAAAAACTGTTCTTTGGTGATCACAACACAGGAAAACATATTTATTTAAAAAAATTAATTCAATAACTCAGTATCTGTTGAGGCATTGTTTGGCTTCAGTAAGACTTTATCCCAATGTCAGGTGGTCCTGTTTGCTGGTATGTTGAAGATTTATAATTAATTTGAACTCTAAACTAGATCATTTGACTGAAAACCATACTTCACATCAGATTTTTCTTTTTTTTTTTTACACAGTAATTGACAGCTGTTGAAAGCAATAGAACTACAAATGGGCTTGTTCATATACAGGTGGGTGGGTGATGTGCGCTTAATTTTATTTCACATTGCTGGAATTGTTCTAACACTGAACAATGGCTGATTCTTGCAATGTATAGGAAAGGCTCGATAACGCTTTTCTCAGTAACAGAAATGAAGATTGTACTTGGCTTTTTTTTTAATGTAATACAGTCACTGTCTTTAATATTGCTAATCAGTCTGTCTGGTGTTTTTTGGTTTAGATTTTCTCCTGCGTGGGATGTGTGATCAGCCCAATGTTCAGGTAAAGAGATTTCTTAGACTCTAAAATTGATAGCTCTGAAGTAAGCTATTTCTGAGTCTGAGAATTTAAAGGGATGGTAAAGGTATGGGGAAAAAAAGAAATCCAGAATATAAAAGAAATTTTTTATAGAGAAACTAGGTTAACTTCAGCATCCCTGTTCACTAAAGATAATTTGGAGGATATTTACAAGTGGAACCTTTATTTCTGGCCAAAGTGAACAACAAATCTTCACTATTAGACAGTGCTCAGCTAAAGAGTTTGATGCCAACTCAAGATCCACAGTGCAATGGCATAAATAGGGGTGTTCAGCCTCTACTCCCTTTGCACCTGCAAAATGCGACACAGCTGCCATGATACCAGTTTCCAAAGAGAAGTGGGCAGCTGCTTATCCATAAGCCTGATGTCTGTACCTAGCCAGTTTGCAGAAATTATAATAAACAAGAGTATTACTGTACACACAGTAAATACGGTGTTTTGGGGAACAGTCAAAATGGCTTTTGTAAAGGTAAGTTATGCCTCACTAATCTGTTGAAGTAATTAAGAAAAACTGACGAGTATATGGATGGGGTGAAGTCCAACTGTTATATTTCCAGAGAAGGATGACAAAGCTGGGGAAGGGTCTGGAGAACAAGTCTGATGAGGAGTGGCTGAGGGAGCTGGGGGTGTTTATCCTAAAGAGAGGAGGCTGAGGGGAGACCTGATCGCTCTCTACAGCTCCCTGAAAGGAGGTTGCAGGGAGGTGGGTGCTGGTCTGTTCTCCCAGGTAACTGGTGATAGGACAAGAGGAAATGGCCTCAAGTTGCACCAGGGGAAGTTTAGATCAGATATTAGGAAAAACTTCTTCACTGAAAGTGGTCAGGCACTGGACAGGCTGCCCAGGGAAGTAGTGGAGTCAGCAGCCCCGGAAGTGTTAAAGGAACATGTAGACATGGTGCTTGAGGACATGGTCTAGTGGGTATGGTAGTGTTGGGTTGATGGTTGGACTAGATGATCCTAAAGGTCTTTTCCAACCTTAGTGATCCTGTGATTCTGTAATTGTTTGAATTCTCAAGAGACTTTTGACAAGGCCCTTTGCCAGAGACTCTTAAAGGAGGTAAACAAGACTACCCAACTTATTAAGTGATCTGGAAAGTACATGAATAGTGGAGTGATGATGTCTGCTGATGAAACAAAGCTCCTCAGGGTAATAAAGACAAGGACTGACTGTGCAAAGTTGCAAAGAACCTTAGTTAAAAAGTTGGTGAAGGTATACAATACAGATAGATACAAAAAGTGAGCAAGCAGGAAAAAAATGCTGATGTTACCATTCAGGCTTTGGAATTATATTAATTGGGACTGTTCTGTGGAAATGTCAGATCAGTGCTATGTAATGATTAAAAAAAGAAATTAAATCTCAGGAATCATTAGGAGAGAAATTGAGAAAAGAACAGTAAATACCATTATGTTGCAGTCTAAATCTAGGGTGTATCCACATCTTCAACACTGTTGGTGGTTTTGGTCCCACTCTCAGAAAGAATCTGTCAGAGATGAGTAAGAGTCAGGAAAAGGTATTAGCATTTAGCTGAACATATGGGCCATTGTTGGAGACAGGTGACTGGATTTGATGGTCACTATGCTCATTCTTATGTTCAAAAATTCTTGTAAGTTGAACCTTTGCTCAATGTCACAAAAACAGTCACTAGGAAGAGAGGTTAGGCTTCCTGGAAAAAAAAAAATCAAGAAAGTAATAGTCCAGTGTGAAATATGAGACTATTCTAGGTCCCTTATTGGAAAAAAATGCACCTCAAAAGAAAAAGCCTCTCTAAAAATGTTTTGCTCAGGTGGGTGTTTATAAAAAAATCAAACACGCAAAACTGAAGTGTTGTTTCTTATGTTAGATGCAGACACAAATGGGCTGTTTGACATCAAAGTCTTAGCGTTTCACACGGAATATATGATGAACTTGCTCCACACATTCCTAACTGAGGGACCCTCAGTTCTGTGTCAGATGGCATGAAACTGTACTAGTTATGACTGATAGAGGCATTTCTCCTCAATGGTTGAGAGGAGGCTGGCCTGGTGATCATCTTCTTGGAGAAGTTTGGCATCTCTCTTTTTAGCCCTCACAGCATGCTTCATAGCTGTTCATGACCCATATTCAGGATCTCTTTCCAGAAGGCTGGCATAATGTAAATGACATTCTGGTATTCATGGGTGAAAGGTCTCAAGGAAATCTGTCTTAGGATGTTTTTTTCAGGTTTGAAAAGATTTCAGGTTACATGAAGTGAATTTAAAGAAAAGTGTGGAAAGCCTGTAGATTATATATTGTGATATCCCAACTTCCACAACTCTTGTATCACCATTTGGACTAAAACATTTGCTTTTTTTTCTCCTTAACCAGTCTATTCTTCCTCTTTTGAGGGAACCACCACTCCACAAGTCATTACAGTCTTTCACCATGAGCATGATCAGGAATATCTCAGTATTTGAAACATGCTGCGAGCTTCAGCACCAGCACATTGAATTGTGGTACCCAACAGTTGACTTCAGAATTTGAAGACTGAATGTTGAAGAGAAAACCTGAATTGTCTGGAGGAATAAATGAAAACGGAGCTCTGTACTTTTCAAAAAGAGGTCTTGATTTATAAATCTGGAAGAAATTGTTTTCAGAAGGAATCCAGACAGTATTGTTTTATATCTTGGGTACTCTACTAATGACATGTCCTTTATAAATACAAAAAAATTACATTCAGCTATTAGAGAGGAAGGGAAAATACTTTTGTGGATAGCTTTGTCCCAAGTACAGGAGCATCGATTATGTGCCCACATGATTATTTTTTGGCCACTCACTCTTCTGTATTATGCAGCTTTGCAGAAGACTAGTTCAGAAAGCAGGTGTGAATAATGATTTAATCATCTGCCAGATGAAAATGAAAAACACCTAAATTCCCACCACTTATAGTATTGTTACTTCTATTGCTATACACCAGAATCATGTCTGGATGATTATGTTAATGTTTGGCTTTAACAATGATGTCATTGATATGATGTGATGGAAAATCTAGTTAGGAGAGTACTTCATTCATTGACTTTGTGAGCTGAGGTTTTCAACAAGTTAAGATTTCTTCAGTGTTGGACTCTAGTATGAAAGGTTCTATCTCAGTAAAAAAGTGTCTTTCTTCATCACCTCAGAAAGATTGCACTGGGAAGTGAAAAGTGAAATCAGAGCAGAAGATGACTCAGTATAACAATTCAGCCGAGCTCTCTCTCCAGAACACAGCAAATAAGTCATTAAATTTCACTGACACACCATTGGTTTTGGATGAAAGGACACTGTTAGGGCTGAAGATTTCACTGTCAGTCCTTCTGTCTGTTATAACTTTGGCAACGATCCTTGCAAATGTTTTTGTTGTTATTACAATTTTTCTGACTAGAAAGCTCCACACACCCGCAAATTACCTCATTGGCTCCTTGGCAGTGACTGATCTTTTAGTGTCTGTCCTAGTAATGCCCATCAGTATTGCTTACACTGTCACCCACACATGGGCCTTTGGCCAAGTGTTGTGTGATATCTGGTTATCATCAGACATCACATGCTGCACAGCCTCAATCCTACACCTCTGTGTTATTGCGCTGGACAGATACTGGGCTATCACAGATGCTTTGGAATATACCAAACGCCGAACTGCTGGCCGAGCAGCACTCATGATTGCTGTGGTATGGATGATCTCTATTAGTATTTCTGTGCCACCTTTTTTCTGGAGGCAGGTGAAAGCTCATGAAGAAATTGCAAAGTGTACTGTGAACACAGATCAAATTTCCTACACAATTTATTCTACTTGTGGAGCTTTCTACATCCCAACTGTGCTCCTCCTGATACTGTATGGTAGAATTTATGCAGCAGCTCGATCCAGGATTCTGAAGCCACCCTCATTGTATGGGAAACGTTTCACTGCGGCACACCTGATTACCAGCTCTGCTGGGTCTTCACTCTGCTCTATTAATGCTAGCCTTCACGAAGGGCATTCCCACGCAGGTGGATCCCCAATATTTATCAGTCATGTTAAAATAAAACTTGCAGATAGTGTTCTGGAAAGGAAAAGAATTTCTGCTGCAAGAGAAAGGAAAGCCACCAAAACTTTAGGCATTATTCTGGGAGCTTTCATTTTCTGCTGGCTGCCTTTTTTTGTCATGTCCCTAGTCCTACCAATCTGCCAAGATGCTTGTTGGTTTCATCCCATCCTACTGGACTTTTTTACATGGCTAGGTTACTTAAACTCACTGATCAATCCAGTCATTTATACAGCTTTTAATGAAGAATTTAAACATGCTTTCCAGAAACTAATACATTTCAAAAAGTGTTTGTCTTGAAACTCTCCTGTTGTGTTACCGATCCTTGTGCAATCTTGCAACCTTTCTGGAATCTTTCTGTGCTTTTATTCCTAAGGTATGGAGTGGTAACTGCCAATTGCTGCTACCCTGTGCTGTACATGTCACTGGGAACTTCTTGACAATTTGGTACTTTCTGTTTCAAATTCTATGTCCCATAACAGAACTTGCGTCCCTTCCAACCCAAACCATTCTATGATTCTGTGACAGTTGAGACACTTTTTATATGCAGCACTCTATGACAGTTGTCTGTGGTCTCTGCAGTGATTGTTTGTGTATGTAAGATCAACACATAAAGTAAGCTTTTTAACAAGTGAAGGAGTGTGAACCAGGGATCTGAGTTTGTACAATGAGATGATATATATTATCCAATTCTGCCATGCCTTTGTAATCTGATAGGAGGAAAATGTGTATGTATTTGCAGGACAACAGTATTTCTTCTGTATATTATTAACAATTTATGTAGGCTGAGAAAGTTTCTGGAGAGCAGGATTTGATGTCTACATTTTCTATTGCATGTATCCTGTACATTTGAAATTGATAAAATCTGTACCTTTTTCACAAGTTGTATGACACAGCCTGACTATAAGCAGGAGGACACAGAAGACACAGTGTGTATGTAAGTTCTGTGGGTATTTCACAAATACTGCATTTGAAGCTATGTTGAAAATTATGTTGAAATCATTTTTACACATTTTATCATTAGAAGAATGGCCAGTGCAGGAATACTACAAAATAAATAGCATGAAAATTATTGAAAAATACCTTGATCTTACATTTCTGTTATTTAATTTTTTGCATACACAAACTGAAACAGGAAGATATGTTTATTGCCAGTGTGGAATGACTGGGACTTCAAAAAGAGACAGAAGGTTCACCACTTGGTGATGAGAAATGGGGAGTAAGAAAAGAAAGAATGAGGTGACATATCAAGGAAAAATGTCTTAATAATTAAGGTCGTTGGGGTGGATGTGACATCCCTGTCTCTGGAATTTTTTAAGCACTGGTCAAACAAACACCTGTCAGAGATCACAATGTCAGGACCCTCCTCTGGGGCTGTCGACAGTGTGGCAGGTCCACTCTAACCTGTCTTTCTCTGTCTCTGGGATTATTTCCACCATTTGGAAGGTGAGAAGCTGGCACATGGAGGTCTTGACTGAAGTCTCAGACAGGACAGCACACCAAGTGGTGCAGCCCAAATTTCATTCTACTTTTTAGAGTCTCTGGGCATTTTACAGCTGAAGTGTCATGTCCATACAGCATGTGTTGCTTTGAAAGAGTGATCCCATCATCCTTCTGACCAACCTTGCATATCTCAGCCTCCCCAAATTAATCTCCACCATCCACTACTGTGGCCATCCCAGCACATATTCCACCACAGCACAGGTCCAACACAGCTCTTCAGCCTCTCCTTTGCATTTGCTGCACAGTCTTTCAGATTCTTCCTGTTGATGGTGCCTTTGCTGAAGACTGGACCATAACGTAATGCCCCAAGACCACCCACATGCTGCAGAATCAGGCAGAGAAGTTGTGTAGGTCACAGAATTGCAGTCCTCTCACAATACGCACTGAGGGCAATTAAAGCTGCTGTCTCCCATCCCAAGAGTGAGGTCATCTAGCTCAGCTGCAGAATTTTCATGGTGGCACTACCTGGCCATGTCCACACCGTCTGCTTCCAGTGTGTCCAGAGTGTCCACTGGCAGTGGTGCTTCTCTTGTCTGTACTCACTCCTGAACTGTGTTTGTGCATTGCCTGGGGACATGTGAGCTGCCATAGGCCACAGGCATATTGGGGAAGGCATGAACCATTAACTAGTGTAGACAACTGCATTCTCATACCTGAAGCCAGGCCCTGGCACTATTTAATTTGCTGTTATAGACATAGCCTGTGTGAAGAGGTAGTGTACAGCTTGGAGCTCCAGGCTCCCTTCTGGGCTGCCATCGCTGTGTCCAGGCCACTCATAGCTTCTATCTATCATTGTGGGACAGAGGGTATGACACAGCCAGTCCAGTGTTGGTCTGGTGGTAGCTGAGGTATGTACGCGTCACAGAATATTGGTATAACCACCTCTGCTAGAATAATGGGATATACAGTCTCATACTGGGCCTGCGGTAGGGGATGTATGTGACTACATGAATTCAAAGAGATACATCTCCAGGATCCTGCAGGGCCTTGTCACACAAAGTACCATTTTTGGAGACTGGGGGAAGGCCTCCTAGCTTAGGACATTGCATATTCCAGAACACTGGCATCTTCTGAAGGAGACAAACAGCCAATTCCTCTCCAGAGGACACAGTCTGTGTTGTTTTAGAATAATTTTTTTCATCGTGGGCCTGGGTGATACAGGTTTTCCTGGACAGCAGTGTCCCACATCAGGGTGGCAGTCAGCTGTTGAGCTCCTGTATTTAAAGAGCCGATGTTTAAAGATAGGCTTTATGCCCCTGGGTTTACATCACTGGAGTTCTTTGCATCCTCTGCCAGCTGCACTAAAATTTGGAGGAGCCTTTCTGTTTGACACTGACACAGCAAGACAAGATTGCTTTTAAAATGACCCAGCATCACTGGCAGCAGTGGCTGACCCCCAGAACAAAAAGCATTCAGGAAAGTTTCCTGCAGCCATACAGCATAAGCACTAGTATGATGGTGCCCATTTTTATCATACTACAGGCAAAGGTTTGGGTATCTTTGAAGTTTCCCCACATGCCCTTTTGATACTGTCCATCCTGCCTGCTCCCTGTGTTTTCTAGACCACTTTGTCTGCCGTGATCATCTGGCACAGCTCTGTGACCTGAGGGGCCCAGTGTACAGGGCGTGTGTCCCACAGCTTTAGATCTTGAAAACAAAATACCCAACTGGGGAAAGAGGATAAAAGACAAACCAAGTAAACAATAGTCAAGGTCAAAGTCACAACACAGAATGAAGGTCTGGGTTCCTCAGGGACTTGAATAAGAGAATCGAAGATGGTCTTTCTGCCTCCACTCCAGCAGCCTGGCCAGCATGGTGCTGGTGCCTCCTATCTCTGCTGAGAGCTATAGGCTGGCCTTCCCACCATATGGCTTCATGCTGTCTAAGGTAGGCTTGCCTTCAGACAGGTCCTTTATGAATTACTGATTCTCTTCTTACCTCATGTTTCAGCACATCATGCTAGCAGTGAGCCCTTGGGTCATAGTCTTCCTGCAAAAACTTGGCAGCAAGGCTGTCACTTGATTGTCCAAATGACACTGAATTTTGGCCTGCATTTCACTTAGGGAGCTTCTCCACAGTGTCCTTCAGGTGGCCCCATACCTGGTTCTAACCTTGAAATCAGAGCCTTGGAGCATCTGGTGCCAACATGTCATTACAAATACCAATAGAGGAAATTACAGCAACTGTGTCAGTCCTTGCTCAGAACTGGGGACATGCAATACATAGAATCAGAGTAATTAAAGTTGGAAGAGACCTCTGGAGGTCACTAGTCCAAAATCCTGCTCACAGCAGGGCCAGCTGTGACATTACACCAGGCTACTCAATGTTTTCTTCAGCTTTCCAAGGGCACATCCTGTATGGTTAACCTGTTCCAGTGCTTGAATGTCCTCATGGTGAAAAAGATTTTCCTTTTATCCAGTTTGAACCCCTCTTTTTTCAACTTGTGTCTACTGTCTCAGTCTCCCACCAGTCACTTCCTCATAGGTCCTGGGGGAGCTGCTCTCAGGTTCCCTCACAGCATTCTCTTCTCCAGACTGAGCAAGCCCAGTTCATTTAGCTTCTCCTTCTGTGTTTCTGGGGCAAGTTGTCTAGTCTTCTGACCATTCTGGTGTCCATCCATTGACCTTACTCGTGTTTAGGTGTGTCTTTCTTGTACTAAGAGGCCCAAAACTGGACACAATATTATAGATGTGGTCTAACAAGGGCTGAGTAGAGCAGGATAATCACTTCCCTTGATTTATTAGTTACGCTTCTGCTACTATAGCCTTGTCTAATGCCAGGGCACACTGCAGGCTCCCATGCAGCTTGCTGTCTACCAAGATCCCCAGGTTCTTTCCAGCAGAGCTGCTACCCAACCCATCAGCCCTCAGCCCGTACCATGGCAAAGGATTATTCCTTCCCTGGTGTGGGATTTAGCATTTGTCCTTGTTGAATTTCCTAAGGTTCCTGTTAGCTCCTCCCTCCAGCCTGTCTAGGTCATTCTGAATAGTGGCTCTGCCCTTGAATGTATGCACTGACCCCTCAGCTCAGTGTCATCTGCAGACTTGAATGCACTCTCTCACCTCTTCCAGAATATTGATAGAGATGTTAAACAGGACAGGTCCTAGGGTAGCTCCATCCAGTACTCTGCTTGTTATCAGGATGTCCACCCAACCACAACATCCCAGATTCGATAAAAGCATATTGTGGGAATTGGTCTTTTATGATACATTTACTGGATTTGTTCATGATCAGAGAGGACTGTAATTTACCTTGACTTCAGCAAGACTTTCAATACTATCAGACTGTTCCAGGATGTTTTACCCTTTGAAAATCCATGCTGACTGTTCTTCACTACGGTCTTGCTCCAGCCTCCCAAGGCAGTAAAACTGACAGACACAACTTCGTCATTCTTTTTCAGACTATGTTGCAGGATTGGTTAGAGAAAATCCCCGGGCAGGATGGCACAGAAGCAGGAGCCTGAAAGACATCAGAGAACTCTGCAGCACCTTGTAGCTTAGACCACAGACCACAGCGAAGTGTCTCAGAGAACAAGAAACAGAAGGAAGGGAGCACATGGTTTGTATCTGCTATGCAAGGAGTTCTAATAAATAATGTTTGGCATAGTTGGCAGGATTTGAAGTAAAAATATCTTTATTTTGGTGAAAAGAGTCTAATGTTACTACTGTGACTGTTGATATTTCCAGATGGGAAACAGTTACCTTATTGCATTTTGGCCACTCAGTGGTCTTGTGGTGCTGGATTGTATGAAGGTTGGGGCTTGTGTTTAGCAGAAGCAGAACCTTCTGATGTAGTAA